CAGAGGAGCTCTATGAGAAAGCTCTAGACATCAGGAGGAGAGCGCTGGCTCCGGATCATCCCTCCTTGGCTTATACTGTGAAACACCTGGCAGTGCTGTACAAAAAGATGGTAAGCACAAGCCTGTTACCTTTTCTCGTTGCCTAAATGAACTCTAATGCCTTGCGTTGTTACAGCCTTCAACCCAAAAGGAGTGGGTTCTCCCCAAAAATCTGGGGATTTTTGTCAGCCATTGGGATTCTACACACATTCTACACACTAAAAGATGTCAAGTGGCGTCGGTCTGTTTCCAAAAAGCCCAGTAGCTTTTTCCAAACACACTCTGCTTAAAGAAGAACAATTTACAAATAACATCTTCAGTGTCCTTCGTGCTCAGTGCTCACCATGAAGAATTTCTGATTTGGTTAAAACTGCGTTTTGGGTGCAGTGAGGGAAGCTCTTCCCACCTGTGTTTGAGTTCTCCACTGTCTGCTGTGTGACATCCACAAACAAGAGTTTGGTCAGATGTGTCTTAATGGAAAAATCATGTTTTAGGAATAGTTCTTTCTACACAGTGACCTTGAACTTTACAGTCAAATTGAGAGTAACTTGAAGGCTCTGGAGGGAGATAGGACTTTACAAGTAAACTGTCTGGCTGAGCCACTTCCAGCTTGTTTTGATTCACTGGAAGATAAGAGTTATTTCCCTCTGAAATGCACTTTGGGGAGTAACATTAACAGCAGTATCAATTTCTGTGTTTCATCACTTCAAAACGTTTTATAAATATTTGTGTTTGCAGATGGTCATTCTAACCGTTTGCTGTCACCAGTGTCAAGAGAGATGGATGTAAGGTTTCCAGCTGTTGAACCAAGATCAAATTCACAGGATGACAAATTTCTTGTTATTTTTTCCACATTTTACTATTCTTCAAAGAGAAAAAGAGTTCTTGAAGATAATCTCTTGCATTAAATGCTCCTGAGTTTTTGCTTAATAATTTTTACCTGCTATTATATGCATGAAATTGTTGGGGCTCATGTATTCTCTGCTCTCTTCAGCTTCTAATTTTGATGCTGCTTGAAACTGGAAAAGCACTCAATATTTGCATCAAACGGCTCTTTGCTAGTTTGAAGAGGCGTAACTTAAAATCCATGGTGAACTGGTGACTCAGGGAAGAGTGGAAGAAGAAAAGGACAGGAATCAGACGTAGACAATGGCAATTATTTATAAATAGGTGTTTATTCAAGATGAATTACTGATCGTTTTCAAACTGTGGCGTGGCAATGCTTTGAAAAAAGAAGGGGAAAATTTGATTTAAATTTTGCAGCTACAGGGAACCATTATTCAGTGGATGTTTGCAGTATTTTATTTCTAATCGCTATTAAATATGAGAATTCACATTCGAACAATAAAAGCCTAAGCATACTTTTGAAGTATCTCCAGTTAATGGGTGAGCAGATTCAAGTTTGGAGGAAAACAGATTTTGCTGGATAAAAAAAGAGTGGAAGAAGAAAAGGACAGGAATCAGATGTAGACAATGACAGATTTGCTGGATAAAATCTATTGTAAAGCAAGTTGGAATATGAGAGGGGTATTTTAGAGAAACCAAAGTCAAGAAGCCAAAGCCTCAGAGGCATTGGGCACTGTGGGGCCATTCCAATGGAGACAGTGCAAACAGCATTCAATAAGCAGAAAACTGCCCAAAAGCTAAGGCAGCTGCATTCCCATTCCCACATCACCAGAAAAACTTAGGCCCTTTAAGACAAAAAAGGAGCTCTCTGCTCTTATCTGTGGCAGGATAAGGAAATACAAATGGAGAAATTAGTTGGATAAAGTACAACTGAAAATTGTTTTTAACAGCTTTCTCAATGAGACACTTGTGTGGAAAAAAAAAGAAATAGACACACCCGAGAAACACATTAACTGGGAATTGAATATGCTCAGTATTTTGGAAAATTAGGTCCTAATAAATATTCACGATAAGCAGTCTTTGCAGAATAAAACTGCATTAATGAAAGTTAAACCCTTGTTCTGGAAACAATGACATATTCTCTAAGGCTTTTGGTTTAAAAGAAATTTTAGTGTTACCATTTTGACTTAAGAGAACTGAATCCTTTTTCCTGTTATTTCTAGGGAAAACTTGACAAGGCCGTTCCTCTGTACGAACTGGCGGTTGAGATCCGACAGAAGTCCTTTGGCCCCAAACACCCCAGTGTAGCAACTGCGCTGGTGAATCTGGCCGTCCTTTATTGTCAGATGGTAAGTTTTTCATCTCTTCCATGTTTATTGTTTCTGTTTTAGACTTTGTTGTGATTTGTACCTAAATGATACCGAAGAAACTTGATCGCGTTTAAAAGGGAAATTCCTTACGAGAATTGCAAATTCTTAGGTTCCATTATAAAACTTGAAAGGATATTTGGCAAGGAGAATGTGGGAAGGGAACAGATAATTGCTGGGACTGGTATTTTACAGGAACACTCTTTAGATAATTCAAAATACCCACATGCTTTATCAGACTAGAGCTAGAGTACAGCCTTTCCAGCAATCCGGTGTTTATCACAGTATGAGGGAACACAGCTCCACCACTGCCCTGGAGGAAAACATAATCCTTTGAAATTTACATCTCTGAATGAAGAGTGCCCACCTTCATCACCTGCAAGTCTGTGTAATTAGAAATCTGAGGAAGCTGTATACTTCCTAGTCTGCAACTACCATGAGATGCAAAGGAGATGCAATCAACTTGCCGAATTCTTTACCGTAGCATCAATAGGAGTGAGCTGTAGATTGTTCTCTTGTTCTCTGTATTTCTGCATACCATGAGATGCAAAGGAGATGCAATCAACTTGCCGAATTCTTTACCGTAGCATCAATAGGAGTGAGCTGTAGATTGTTCTCTTGTTTTCTGTATTTCTGCAATCTGCATATCTGATTTTAAACAGGGATTAAAGCTGCCTCGGGTAAAATTAAAGAGCATTTGGTAACTCCAAACTTTTAAGACTGAGATTTTGAAAACTGCTTAGGAAGTTCAGACCCTAATTATAATAATATTAGCAGGAATTGCCAATTGCTCTGGCAGTCTCAGTTATCATCCTTGTCTATCAGCAGTATCGAGACCTTAAAACACCTACTTTGATTAAATATGCATAACTTTGTATCTAGGATGGGTTGATGCAATGTTGGAAAAAAGAACAGCAAATGTAATATATGTCTGTAACAACCAACTTTCTACTACCCAAAGAAAAAGCAGGTCGAAGCTTTACCTCTTTATGAACGTGCCTTGAAGATTTATGAAGACAGCTTTGGCCACATGCACCCTCGGGTCGGGGAAACGCTGAAAAACTTGGCTGTACTGAGGTAAGATTATACACATTAGCCCTAAAAAAGCAAATTACTGTAAGAATTACTGGATGAAACAAAACCATCCTGGACTCGTGTACTTATTAGGAAAGCAGAGAGCCTTAAGTGCAATTCTTTAATAGCACAGTGAGCATTTCAATTTAAACAAATCAAGAGCTTTATTGTAATTGCTTGTTTCAACTTTGTTTCACTCTTCTTTAAAGCTACGAAGGGGGAGACTTTGAGAAGGCAGCTGAACTTTACAAGAGAGCTATGGAAATCAAAGAAGCAGAGACGTTGTTGATAGGTGGAAAAGCAACTTCTCGACACTCATCGAGTGGAGATACATTCAGCTTAAAAAGTGCATTATCACCCAACATTTTCCTGGATCATGGACAAAGGTGATACAAACCTGCGCAAAGAAACGGCCGTCTCCATTGCTATTTCAAAGTGGACATAAACTTATTAAGAAAATCTTATTTTTTCTGGGATAACATACTATTTTGGGACCGACGCCTGTCTTCATGAATGACAGGGAGACAAATGTTTAAGCTTGAAACTCTTCCATGTTACCTTTGCAGACTGTATGGTACGAACGAGCTCCTTCCATTGTATATAAATACGCATAGTAGTTACTAGCTCAACTTATAGCTAATGACAAAAACACATGTTACCTTTGCAGACTGTATGGTACGAAGCGAGCTCCTTCCATTGTATATAAATATGCATAGTAGTTACTAGCTCAAGTTATAGCTAATGACAAAAACGTTTGGATTTCATACCTCAGAGCCTAAGTGCTAGGATTAGAACAAGTTAAGTTGAACCAATTGTATATACTCCACTGGGTAGTTCTATGTTGGGATAGCCTGGCTTAGAGGATTTGTGTATTTTTGTTTCATCGACTCTTTTTGCCTTTCCAAAAGCTTTTGAAGTTGTTTCTGAAGGGACAGTCATTTTGAAAACGTCAAAATACTGTTCCACCCAGAGTTTCCCCTGGCGGGTGATTTCAGCTTTAAGCAAACTTCATTCAAGGGCCTTGTGTAAAAAATAATTGCTTTCCTTGGGAAGCTAATATATCTAAGTATATCATCATCTACAGTTAAGGCTGTTGTCAGATTCAGCTGTGTTCAGTACAAATACTTCCAGCGAGGAATGAGAATGAAGATGATTACGAACTGGTTCCCTGTTGCTAATGCTTTGGTGATACTTTCACTATTTATCTCACTGAATCCCTTAAAATGCAAGAATGTTTGTATTAGCTGGAAAAAACCTAGGGATGCAAAATAGAGATGGTAATCAGATCTACCTGCCTGTTGGGTTTCTTAATACCTTTAGTCATCTGGAAAAATCAATTTGAAGTCTGTTCTCATTTGGTGAATAAATCCATGAATCCATTTAAATACATACTAAAAAAAGACTTTTGATAAAAAATGGAACATAATTGAACAATAAATTTTAATAAATTAAAATGTTTCAAAGGCAGCCGATGTAAAGATTTATTTGATCCAGTTTGAAAAATGCAAATGGCTTTTACCTCAAACACCTCTGCAGTATTTTTTCCCTTTTAGAGCAACTCTAACCCCCCTTTCAGCCCTTGTTCTGGTTGGAAAGAATTTAATATTTTGCTAAGGCCGTAACTTGGCAAAAGAAATAATATATAAAACTGATAGAACAAATACACAACCCAAATTTGGTTTTTAAGAATAAAATTTAGTTGAAGAGAAATTAAAAGGTGTTACAATACAGCAAAAAGAATTGATGCTTTTATAGATCTCTGTATATTTTTCTCTTAAGAAAATGGGTTTTTAATCAAAGAGACCTTTCCCACTATATTCCAGACACCTTGAAAAATTTTGAAAATTGGAAAGTTTCTTTACAGGACTGTTACGGAGTAAGGAGAGGAGTGAAAGGAAGGAAAACAAAGAAACAAACCCTCCACCACAAATAAACAAATCCCAAACCCCTTACCCTTCTCAGCTTGTTACGTGTTTGTTGCCTACTCTTCTCAGACCTGTTAATTTGTTAATTCCCTCCTCTAAAGCCAGTCTCATGAATTATCAGATGTCTGGTCTCGCTTGTCACCTCTGATTGGAACACGTATAACGATGATACATCTTGCTCTCCTAAATAGCTTTTCTTAATCTTGCTGGCTAAATAAGAAACTACTTTCTAGACCGTCAGTGTTGTATCAGACCTTCCCCATTTAGTGATTTCCAATTCTGAATTGTTCCTATTGTTCCCTTGAGTCACTTTGCTCCAACTTTTTCCTAGGTTGCATGGTTGCTTCAGAAGGAAAAAAAATGAATCCCTAGAAAGTAGCTGATCCCAACCATCCGTTCTCCCTTAGCAAAGACGGTGAGGAAACAACAGCTTACCCTGCCAACCTGAAGAAAAATCCATTCTCTACAGGCAGTAAAACAAGATCTTGAGTAATAGTGGAGGGTCTTGCAGGCCCCTTGTTGGCCATAACCTCCTGCAGTATAGACATAGTGCTCTTAAAACATGTACTTCATGGACATTATAAAAAGTAATTTGTGTATCTTGCGTATGCCAAGTAATACTTCTGTGTACGAAAACTCCACCTCAAACCAGAGTGTCAGCAGTTTCAAGGGAGATTTAATCACAGAGTTGGAACACCAACATCTCACTAACATTCATGATTGATACACTATAAACACTGAAAGCTTCTTTTATAAGATTGCCAAAGAAACAAAGCTGGACTAAGCCACTGCAATATGCTTTAATTTGTTAGTTCCTAACAAAAGAAGTCATAAATTTCCCAATAGGTTTTATAGTCGGAGTAGATTATAATTGTAAATGTCTTTTTAATTAAAAAATTATCCTTAAAGCTTACTTTTAAGTAATTTTAAGCATTGGCACATACACTTAATTTAATCATTTCAAATTCTTCTTGTATATACAAGTTGAAAGACTGAAAGTAACAGAACCATTATGCATGCTCCATAAGTGGGCATGCAAAAAAATGTATTAATTTGCTCGTAAAACTGTACATGAACTAAAATGGTAAAGAATTGCCTCTTGTAAAGCTGTCAAGCACATGGGGGCAGCCACATCAGCCGGAATTAAGACTAACGGAGCTGGTGCAGAAATTAATCAACCATTTGCCTCAGAGTCTCCAGAGCCAGGTGTGTGCCTCACTTTTACTGTCCCCAACAGAAAGGTAAAGCCACAAAGAAACATAAGTAACACTTAAACTGACACTTGGATCAAGCTAAAGTAGACTTGGTGACACAGATTCAAGTATGTACTTTTTTAGTGATCTCATTGTTTCTTTTCCCTCTTTGCAGTTCAATTCTAAAATCCGTTTTCTCCAAAACTGTACTTGATTAAAAAAAAAAAAAAAAATCTTCCCTTTTACAGTATAATGCACTGCACACAAAGCCCACCCAAAACCTCCCCACCAGCTTCAGAGATGACTTCTATGTAAAGAACATAATCTAGTGTCAGCTGTGGAGGAAACAGCTTTTGAAGTTTATAACCGTTGCTTAGAAATCAAATATTTTTTTAACCAAGCATTCAGCTGCCCTAAGAGACAGAAGCACCTCCACAATATTAGTCTTTTTACATGTGGATGGGATACTGCCACGAGTGTTACTGGCTGGTTCTGTGTTGGCTGCATCGTGCTGTGGAAAGGTGCTTTGAAGAGCCCAAGCTGGAAATGTTTGTATTATTCTGCAAAGGCTGAAATTTACATTCTTCTAAACCAAATCTAAGTAACAATCAAGTTCTGCATCAGACGCCCACAGCAGTTAAAATATTTGGAATTTATGCTCCTAGTTCTGCCAGGGCACTACCAGTACAGGTTGTGTACATTTACAGGTCACATGATAATGTGACCTGTAACACATGATAATTTAAATGTTTAACACATGATAATTTAAAAGTTCATGCTACTGTACTAGCATTACTTACAAGACAAACTCAATAGCTCAGCTACTCCCCTGAAGATAGCTGCAACACAAAACAAAGTTCAGAGCATTAAATTTCCCATGATTTCCTATGCAAACTCAGATAAAGTATATTCCTTAACATAGCCTGTATCATGGGGAGGGATCAGAATTACAGCTAAACTTTTAATAACCAACAAAAATGTAATATTCAGATTTCTGAAGAGATACAACAAAATCTCCTTTCCACTGTCGCTGGTAATTCTTAAGAGATTTTGTCATGAAAAGCATCTGCCAACTGAAACAGGGACAGCTAAGACCCGGTCTCCTAGTATAATTATCTGCTAACAGAAGACTTGGCCTTGTTGCAACACACTCAAATCATCACGCACAAAAATACAGGCAACTATTTAAGAATAAGCAGCAGTAAAACATGGATAAAACCAGGGAAGCTTAAAAAAAAATAAATCCATTCCAGGGATATTTAAGGCTGATGAAAAGGCTGGAATGTTCTGTTTACTCAGAAAAAGTAACCACAGCATGATCCATGCCAAGAATTTAGAGAGACCAGTGAACAATGATGAGTGCAAGTGCATGGAAAATCAGGAGCAGCAATAGGAGTGAGGCACCATCATCTGCCTCTGACCTGTTGAATCTGCTCCAGCAGATTTCATCTTTCACTTGTTCTCTACTACGTCCTGTTCTCATCACATGATATTGCATCCGATATGCTAGGCCTGCTTTTGTTAGTTTATCCGTCTCCTTTTTATTTTCTACTGACCACCTGGACACTAGCAATGCTGAGACATTAAAATTTACAGTAGCACAACTTCATATGTTAAAGACGTTGACTAGACATCAGAACATAAACAAGGTAGTTCGGTTGCCTTCCTGCCCCTGTAACAGTTCCATTTCACCAGAAATGTAAGGATAAATAGTCTGGTTTTCTCAAAATTCAATGTCAACTCCTAAAAGTTATACTTAGTATTTGGTTTGCTACATGTTTCTCATTTTGGCCATGAGTTCTTCTAGGCTTTCTTCAGACTCTGCCACCGTTTCCTCAGTTATCAGATTCTCTTCCTATTAAGAGCAGGAAAAAAAAGGTTGGCAATAAAAATAGCAAAAAAAAATCCCCCCACAAATAAGCTTTATTGCAATTATACCACACCGTTTTCCTAGAACCAAGCACTCGATTCCCAGACTAGGCCTAAGTGATTATAAACTTAAATTGTAAATTATTCTGACTAGGGGTTAGAATGTTCTGGCTGCAATACATACAGATTCTGTGTTCCCCAGATGTACTAAGTGCTCTTTTGACTACATACAGCTTTTACAAGATAAATATGATAAAAATTAATTAGTCACTGAAACATCAACTGAGAAATTCGTATTTGTTTTGCTTCACTTGCCCACTCCTCAAATACATTCAGGCCTATTGCTTTAAAACTACATTCACACTAGCATCCATACTTAAGGAAATATATTTCATACAAACACAAAACTGCACCATCGAAGGCACCAATGGGTTGTGCTGAGGTAGAGTCTTACTGGATATATTTCATACAAACACAAAACTGCACCATAGAAGGCACCAATGGGTTGTGCTGAGGTATCCTTCAAGATGGAATTTTATTTTAGGTTTAAAGGGTAACTAAACCAGCTGGTCTTACAAATTTAATCTACAACATGAATTTCAAAAATTCATAAAGAATACCTATATTACCTTGTTTGGGATAGTATATGCTACAGTAATTCCCTCGGGAAGCTCAGGTACTGGGCCAGAAGCAGCCTTCAGCTCCTCTTCTGAAGTTTCTGATACTAATTCGATACCTTTGCATTAAAAGGAATCAAGAACTCCATTAACCATTAGAAGAAAAAGTTCTTAATCACTATGTTATCATAGTAACAAAGAGGAAAGCTGCAGTTACTTTTCTGGAATAGAAAAGAAATTAAAAGCATAAATAACTTTGATTTCAACTACTTCATTCCATTATTGATAAAAAATATTTTCCCTTTATAATGTATGAACTGATTCTACACAGGTAATTTATGGACAAGAATGACACCTCTCCTATAGACTTCCTTGTCCTTACCATTTAAATCTTATCATGAGGACACTTCTCCCAAGGGTAAACTAAGATTACCTCTCCTATAGACTTCCTTGTCCTTACCATTTAAATCTTGTCATGAGGACACTTCTCCCACGGGTAAACTAAGATTATTTTCTGTATGATGTAATAGATAGAATGTACATACCCATTCTTGAAAGGCTTACATAAAACGCGCTTACCATTCCTTAAGAAAATTCCTTCTAACTTAAAGCCCTCAGAGGAATACTCCATGGGATACCGTAGCACAGCGGTTATGGAAGTGACAAATGCTCTTTAGTTACATATTTAGAAGGAACATACAGTGAATACTTCTTCTCACATCTTTTCACATTTGATTTTTTATTTCATATTTTCATACCATCTTCTGTGAAAAGTTCTTTAGTCAAATGCACTTACGTTTTGAGCCTAAAACCTGCACATTACACTAAAAATACATCATCAAGTTTTGATAACATTACTGTTAAAACCTGTGAAAATCCTCTCTATACCTCTACAGTGTGTGCACCCAAAACAAAGACTTCAGTTGAATCTCAGTACTGGGAACACCTTTCTATCTCCAGTTGATTACTTACCCCAGTCATTGTCCTCGTGTACTATTTCTTCTTCCTGTTCAATTACTTCTTCTTTTGGTCTTGCGGCTTCTTTTTTCTGAAGGAAAAATACACACACAAAAAACCCCCACCATAATATCAAAAAATTAAAAACATAATATATGTCCAGTTTTCAATAACAGCAAAGATTAAATTTAAGTCACGGTTCTTTTAATATTTAAGATATTCAGTCACCATTTAGAACTTTGTTATATATGTCCAGTTTTCAATAACAGCAAAGATCAAATCTAACAGTCACAGTTCTTTTAATATTTAAGATATGCAGTCACCATTTAGAACTTTGTTTCTTCTTTTTTCTGAAGGAAAAATACACACACAAAAAACCCCCACCATAATATAAAAAAATTAAAAACATAATATATGTCCAGTTTTCAATAACAGCAAAGATTAAATTTAAGTCACGGTTCTTTTAATATTTAAGATATTCAGTCACCATTTAGAACTTTGTTAGGCATAAAAAGGCAGAATACCTGCAAGTTCAAAAACTCCTAACCCATTAACACTCAAAAATATATGAGTGCCAGAAAGCTCAAGCAATTAGTGCAGAAATATAATATTATCTAACTCAGTGCAAGCCATTCTGTCTACCCTTTGCTTTAAGATAACTTGAAGTTCTGTATTTCAGAACTGAAGACAAGGCTGCTGAAAACTCAAAGTTTTCTTTTACTACAGAGCTGGAGCTTGCTTTGTTCTTAAGACTTTAAGAAAGGAGAAAAAAAAAGAAAAAAAAAAAAGAAGAAACGCAAAACATTTTACCTTATAATTTTCTTGCTGTTTTCTGCAATTTTGGTCACTACATTGTGGGTTTGGCTTCATGGACATGGTTGGGAAGAAATCCTGCATCGCATTGTAACCAAGGTAGTAACTCACAGTACCAAAATTTAGCAGATATCTGGAAGCACAAACAGAGAAAGCAGGCCCTTATATACAGGTGCAAACCGAAAAATCCAGTTGCTCAAGGAATAATTTTTCCTCAAAGAACTTTTAGAATACACTTTCACACCACTGAGTTGTAAAGAGTTACTCTCATTGTCTGAAAATAAGCTGTAATCAGCCAAACACAGCATAACTGCATCGGTGTAGCACCCGCTCCTCTTGTGGTGTTAAGTGTGGGAGAAGGAGTCAGCTACAGTCTCAGAAAAAAGTGTGTTTAGAGTAGTGTGTAAGAAGTTTTCTCCTGTGCCTTAATCTGTTGCTTGAAACACTCAGGAGCCCTGTATTACAATGGGAAAGTTTTCAACAGCTAATCAGAAAGAGTTTAATCATCTTTCCTATAGGGTCAGATTGGCAATGAAAATAAAGATTCAAATGAAGCTGCAATGTTTGCATTCTTCACTAAAGAATTCAAATGAAGCTGCAATGTTTGCATTCTTTATTAGAGAACACCTGTTGCTATGCAATTCTATATAATACCTCCCTCTGCACAGCTGAAAATGGAGCTTTAGGCACACTTGCAAACAGTACATTTATTCTTTATAACTACAAATTTTGGGATAACTGAAAAAACCAAGCTAAGGCTAAAAATAGCCTAAATATGATCCTATTCTCAAAGACACCTGTAAAAGACAATGTATCGTTTTGAAACTGAGTACAAAGTTGCTAAAAAATTTTCTTTGTTGATACATGCAGTGCTTTTAGCAGTGGGAGGCATATTTTAATATGTCACATGTCATATTGCTACATAACCATTTTTAATTCACCTCAGATGTTTGGAATACAAACACTGCAGTGGAAATTATTTATTCTTTGTCCATGTCCATAATTCAAAGACAAGTCAGCGCTGCAGCATTTTTGTGTATAATTTCATGTCGGATGGGAGCGTGTTTAAATGCATAACTAAGGGGGTGAAAAAAGGTGTGTGTGGATGCAGTAGGGGAAATTCTTAGGAAAATCCTGAGGACTCTTCCTTACCCCTGAAAAGCTCTATTAAAAACAGCAGCTCCAAAGTAAACACAGCAGTGATTGAAGCAGTGTGTATTTATTTCAGCCCTATCCAATGATGCCGATATCTTTAGGAAATGGGCTGTAAACATATAACAAGAACCAGAGCCCATCATTATGAAGTGTTCCTTCAGGTTTCTTTCTCTATGGTGCTGTCCATTGAGCAGCAACAACTCAGTCACTTACTTCAGAACATTTTGCACGAGCATTCCTGCCACGACACCCATAGTTGTAGGAAGACTAGCTGCACAAACTCCTTCTCGTTTTAATGTTTTTTCATCAATATTGGCAGCAACTACAAGCGGAGGAGCACACTGTGGGGGAAGTAAAGAAATTCAGTTTAAAAAAAAAAGTGTTAAAAATACATAACAAGCTAATCTTCACATTTCCCATCCCACTGCAAAAGACAGACAAACGAACAATTCAGCAGAGCACTGCGTACCGCAAAACAAGCAGATTCACCAGGTATGATCAGCTGTATATGTCCTGACACTGCATTTTCACTCACTCCAGATTCCATCCATATCTGGCCAAGTTCGTTGCAAGCCTTAGAAACACAGAAACACACACATCAGCACTGCAGAACTAAAATGGAGAAAAATAAACGTTGTAAATTGAGAGTGATTAAAGACATAGATCTTCCTGCTTTAAGGCAAAAAGGCTACCATCAGAAAAATGAACATGAAAAGGTAGAACAGAGATTGTTTATCTGAGGATAAACCAAAGAACAAGTTAAAAATTGTCCTCATGAAACCTGAGACTTTTGAACAAACACAGGCATTAGCAGTCCAGCTATTAGAGGCACACTACAGAATCTAATTGCACAAGCTACTTCTCATGGCATGGATGCAGTGTCTCTGCATACCCTGTGCATGCAATTTGCAGATCAAGTTGACAAGAAAACATCCACTTGGAATGTACTCTACATTTGTTGCTACTATAAAGAAAATCAGTTCGGTTTAGGTACGCAGCCTTAAGAAGACACTTTAGCATACAAAAAGTCATATAAGTATACAATTAACTATACACAGTCTTTAAAAAGTTTGTAAGATAAATATGCCAGGCTTTGATAATAGGTTTATGTAAACAGGATAATCTGGAAATACAGAAAGAACTTAACAGCACCTAACTTTTTTACTAATCATTAGTAACTTAAAGGTCTACAGTTATATTTATACACATAAGATGTGTTTTACAAGAACTGGGTAAAAGCTCAGATTCTGTTTCCTTAAATCAAGGATGAACCTTATTAGAAGGTTCTCAATAAGTTCCTGTCCTTTCTCTAGTCTGTCTAATTCCTAACAATAATTATAGGAGAAAACCAACCTCTGTAAGCTCATGCCTTAGATGGCCTTACCGTGTTAATTGCCATGCGAGCTTCAAAGTTGTCCACACAGCTTAGAACAAGATCAACAGGCTTCCCTTCCTCTAGTGCACCGTTACTGAAATAAGTATCAGAAGTTGGCATGTAATTGGTGGCAGGATAAAACACCAACACGGCAATTAACGTGCTTCTTTAGAGTGCAGAAGCACGTGGGAAGTGTCTTCCTAACAAAACTTGTGCAAATGTAGAATGGGATACAACTACCATCCTAGCTCTACAGCAGAGACAACAGCATGCTGAAGCTGGGATTTAAATACACGGGCATTTTAGATTAAAAGAAGTTTCATACGGTATACACTCACAGCACAAAGTATTGGAGAATTGTGTCTTTGTACAACATAACTGCAAATGGGAAAAGTTATTTCAGAACTTCTCTGTGAGATCCACTAATAACTATTTTCTTTCTTCATTCTATAGAGCATACCTGAAACTACTCCAGAGGAGCCAAAAAATGATCTGATCCGTTTTCTAAAATGGGAAAATCCTGTAAGACCTGCAGTGTTGGTTGGAAATCTAAAGATGCACTAACGTAACTGTGTAACAGTAGAAATAAATGCTAACTCTAGACAAAAGGTCTAGGCAGAAATGTCTTCACAGATACACATCTCTCACTGATTTTCAAGTGGAAGTTATTAAACTGAAAAAAACCTCCAACAATAAAAATGTGAGGCTGTATAGAACCACACACATCAGCAGAAGTTAGTGACATGCTTTTGTTGAGAGATTTTACCTTATTCTATTCATGAAGTGTTCAAAGTTGTCCAGTGTTGTGATGTTGTAGTTATGTACTTCGAATTGAACATCCGGATTAATATTCCTTATGGAGGAAATAACACGAGTAAAGATTAATAAATACCATGATAACTTGCATTCTAGTCCCTAACTTCACAGGTGTTGCTACAGTCCTAAGTTTCAAGTCTGAAGTCTAGAATACACCTTTATTTGTTACAAATTCAGATGAGAAAACAAACCCACAACATATTGAAGTGGCATAGCTTATACAGAACTTCTGAGCAAAATTAGCTATACTTAAAAAGTAGATTCACATTAAGGTTTTGGCCAGTACAAAAATATCCTTAAAGTATCAACCCTTCCCACAACTATTTTATACACAAATATCCAAATTGCTACTTTGCAAGTGATTAACAGTGAAACATCAGTTTTCTGGAGCAGCATCCTGCAAATACATTTTGGTACCCACTTGACAAGTTATACCTCAAAGTATGCTCTGCTGCTTGCACTTTACTTAATCCAGCTTGGTGAGGTTGGAAGAAGAGTCTGTTCATGTTTGCCAATTCCACTTTGTCATAGTCAAACAGAAGCAGCTACAATAAAGATTGTATTAGCATGTGTGAACCTCCAAAGATTATGGCAAGCCATTTTAAACACCACCACTCATTCTAAAACCAACAACAAAAAACCCCAACCAAACAACCCCCACACTGTCCCATTCAGTTTGCACACAAAAGGTACTAACATTTTAATTTGATACTGAATTCTAACTGCCATTCACCAATAACTGATTCATTAAGTCATAAAAAGCACTCTTAATAAAAAGCAATCTCTTCATTTGAAGAATATTCAACAGAGACCTTCCAGCACCTAAAGTGAGTTTACAGGAAAGTGGGGGAGGGACTCTTTATCAGGGAGTGGAGTGATAGGACGAGGAGTAACAGTTTTAAACTGAAAGAGGGGAGATTTAGATCAGATATTAGGAAGAAATTCTTTACTGTGAGGGTGGTGAGACACTGGAACAGGTTGCCCAAAAAAGTTGTGGATGCCCCATAGCTGGAGGTGTTCCAAGGCCAGGCTGGATGGGGCTTTGAGCAACCTGGTCTGGTGGGAGGGGTCCCTGCCCAGGGCAGGGGGGTTGGAACTCGATGATCTTTAAAGTCCCTTCCAACCCAAACTACTCTATGATTCTGTAAGTAGATGATCTTTAAGATTCCTTCCAACCTAAACTGTTCTGTGATTATCTACATGAACACTATCACCACGTTCTTACTTGTTGCTATGGCATTAACTAGAAATATGTCATTTCATTCATGTCTTAGCATGTAGTTCTTCAAAAACAATTCACTTAATATACCTACATAATACATGGACATGTTGTTATTATAAATTCTGAATCAACTGTCCGATCTCCTTTTCTATGCTTAAGATGCTGGTCTTCAGGAAATGCTCCTTCAGAGGAAAGGGGAATAAACTTTGCAATAAAAAACTCTGTATTAAGAAACTTTTTAAAGTTCCAAGAGCAAGTGGTCAGGCTTTATCTGGAAATACAAATATCTAAGCTATTACCAAAATTCCTTCTTTAAATAACAATCATGTCCTATTAACTCTTTAGGTTATCTACACACACATCAAATTATTTTTAACTGCTGCTAAATTTTTAGCTTTAAGTCAGCCACATGAGGATCTAATGTTTGTTTGACATCTACCTTATTTCAATTTCATGAATATAAACTTGTTATCATAACAAAGGACTTTTTTGCAAGTTACCCCCTCCTTTTTCTTTATTTGGTTTTCCTTTTGAAATAATCCAGTATGAAGGTTAGATAGATGGGCTCATATAAGGACATGGAGAAGACAAGCATCCAAATGAGTCATCCGCAGGATACAGGATTAAGCCCTAAGTAAATCAATTTTACTAGCACAAGAAAAATACAGACTCTTCATTTGTGATGTTTACACAAGTACTGTTCTTGAGTGCTTTCTTCATAATACTTTTTTATTTGGGCAAAATCAATGGAATGAAATGGAATCTAACTCTCATGAAGACGACAGATCCATCTTCTATAAAGTAGTAAAAGAAGAAAACTCTCATTACCTTACCAATGCCACACCTTGTCAACATTTCAGCAGTCACACTGCCAACTCCACCTACACCTACTACTGCAACTGTAAAGGAACGGATTTTCTGCAGAAAGAAATAAAATACAGATCAATATCTCAAAAGTGGTCCTCACAGAAAAAAACCATAAGGCTCTTTTAAAGCAGATAGAATCCTACCTCATAGTCTTTGACAATTCCCATTCTTTTTAACGCCATCAAGCGACTACAAAGGAAAACAGGAACTTTATACAGAAAATACTCTCTACGTTTCCAATACCAATTTTGCTTTTCAGATATTTAAAATCACTTTTGCTTAAGCATAACCCCACCAAGCACCTGTTTTCACTGGAATTGTGACTGCCAGCTAGATACAGTCTAAATGAGATAGTAGATACTTTTTAAATTAGCAATAGAGTACTAAACCTGCAGAAATTCAAACATTTATTCAGTTGATATGAGTAACACCAATGAAATCAGGAGGCCCCATAGTTAGTTTCATAAACAAATTTCTGATTTATAGAATGAAAGCCTATGCTTTTTTCTTTAATGAACCATATGGCAGCAGGTCAGTGAGGACTCATGCACTGTTTTCTGACCAATTTGATTACATTCACTTCAACAAGACATTTCAAAAAAACAAAAGGCAAATATCAGGTTGTGAGGATAACTGGAACAATTTTAAAGTAACGTTTTATCCTGCTATTGCATTTTTCATTAAAAGTATCAATGAAAGTAGAAGTAGCAGCTTGTATGAAAGCAATTAATCCTGAAAAAAATAACGTATCAGATTTCCAGAATCTCTAAGCATTCGAAGGGGTCCCAGATGCTCAAAACTTCTCTAAACCAACTTCTAAACCAGGTAATTTAGAGGAATTAGAATAAAACCTCATGTAATCCCAACACTGGTCCCATTTATCGGCAACTTAGCTGAAAAACTCAGTTTCGTCTCTCTCTTTGTACCTAAAGCAAGCTAATACAAAGTAACCCTGATGTACCCCCCTGCCAGCCCAGTCAGGTGGAAAATTGGAAAGCATCTCTCTCCTCCTGCCACAGAGCACCAGCCTTCAGCATTGCCCTGACAATCTCCTCAATACACCCAGCCCCATCCTTTAGTCCCCTGCCCGGTCTAGCCCACGTCCACATGTCATTTCCCCTTTACCCAGACCACAATTCCAACCCACGCCTGACACCCCTCCCTCTTCCCCATCCCCTACACCCTGACTCAGCCCCTGGGCCTCCTCCCCACGGCCCAGTCCTGGCCCTCTCCCCATAACCCAAGGCCTTTCTGCCCCCCTCAGTCCTGGCCCTCTCCCCATAACTCAAAGCCCCTCTCTCCCCTCAGTCCTGGCCCTCTCCCCATAACCCAAAGCCCCTCTCTCCCCTCAGTCCTGGCCCTCCCCCCGTAACCCAGGGCCCCTCTGCCCCCGGCCGCACCTGTAGGGGTTGGAGTCCGTCACCTCCGGGCTCATGGTCTCGATGCGGGCCCGCGGCGCCCGCCCGCCGCCCTTCTCCCGAGCCAGCTCCTCTTCCAGCTCCCGCACACGCCGCTCCAGCTGCTCCAGCCGGCTGGGCTCCGCCATGGCAGCACCGCAGCGACACGTCTCCCCGCCTGAGGCAGCTTCCGGGAGCGGCAGGGAGCGCCCTCCCCTCGTCGCACCGACGCCTCACGGAGCGTTCCCATCCCGACCTGGGCGGGAGGTGTCTCCCGCGTCTTCCGACAGCGGGCAACGAGCGGGCTCTGGGACTGACTGAGGAAAGGTGCCAGTCGGGGCGGTAACTACCCTCCAGGAGCCACTTTCTTCCAGGGGAAGCCACCCGGCTCCGAGAGGCCGGCGGGAACGGTGCCGGGGACGGCTTTCCATGACGGACTGAGGCGACGGTGGTTGCTGAGGCAACGCCGGGCGGGGCGGGGCGGGACAGCTCCGCCAGTAGCGTAGAGGCGCAGTGGGCGGGTGCGGGGTAGCTCCGCCAGTAGCGTAGCGGCGCAGTGGGACAGAGCTGGGCGTACGCCGTCGGCGCAGCGAGGGGGGGACATGGCGGCGGAGCCGGGCACTAGTGAGGTGCGGCGGCAGCACCGCTTCGACCAGGGGAGCTTGGAGCGGTACTTGTGCAGCCACCTGCCTGGCTTCCCTCGGCAGCCCGCGGGGGCTCTGGCTGTCAGGCAGTACAGGTAAAGGGCGGGCCGCCGTCTTGCCCCGATGCCGCCTGTGAGGGGGCGAGTGGCGGCCTCCGTGGCTGTCGACGCGCCTGTGAGGCGCCCTGAGGTGTGGAGCCAGAGCTTGGGCCCGAAGGGGGCCTCTGTGGGGCGAGGAGAGGGGCCGCAGCATTGCTTGGTGCCTGGCAGAAAGGCGGGCAGAGCAGAGCCCTTTGCTGTGGTGATGGCAGACGGTGGCCATCAAGGGAACAGCTCGTCCCTTGAGCGGCTGGAGAAGTCAAAGTTCACTGTGGTGGCCAAGGTGACCTTTGGCATGCCCTGTGGCCGTCCGCAGGCAGGCGGTGTGTTGGGTGGCCTTCCTCCTGTCCTCAGAAAAAAATATACCTTTGGCCCTCCATGGTGTGCTTTGTGGAGTATGTGCTCAGCTGTTCTATTGCCTACTCATAAATCTCAATTTATCTGATTGCTCTTTAATTGCACAGCAAACAGTAGTGTTCAGAAGCAAATATGTGGTTTAAGAAATCAGTGTTAAAAGTCTTAGGCTATCAGCTGGTATGCAAATCCATGAGAGCAGCGAAATGCTGATTGCAATTTCCATTAATGCCCTGAGAGCAATGCATTGCACCACCAGTGGGGGGGCCACACCCAGGCTCCAGAGCTACTGTTGCATGGAACATCTAGTTAATTTGCCTTCAGCAAATTAGTGGTGTGGCTGTGTGACTTCAAATCAGGAGCTAACTATTAGAAGTTTTTCTGCAAATACATATTAATTCTGTTATAAGCATGACCTCGACTGCTGTATCTGCAGCTATGACTAAAAACAGTAGACAATTTTTTGTTGTCTTCCTATGCAAATATAAAACATCCATTGAATCGTCAGCTTTACGTCAATTCTCGTATGTACTTCAATTGAGGAGAGTTTAGGAGAGGCCTCAGGAGAGTAGCTAATAGTAAAATCTGCTAAAATATTGCCAGTATTTATGCTTTTACTACTTTGTTTGGTTTGCGGTTGCACTTCAAGGCTTCAACTGACCTAAATCTCTGTTACGCCAGGCAGAGCATTTGGCTGTGTAGTAAACTTATTAAACTATATTACAGACTATGGCATAACTGCCTCAGGGAGAATGGAAATATATCATGGGGAGCATGAGGGCAAAAGTCCACTTGATTTTGATTTTTCCGATAGTTGTCTGATCTTTTATTTGACTAGATCAGAATGTGTCTTAAAAATGATCCAGAATGAGGAGAGGAAGGCATGCAGATTAGCACAGAGCCTTAAGGAAAATAAAGATCAATGAGCTTCATTGGGATATGATGGACAAGGTGTTATGAAGGGTTTAACTAGGTCATCATTCTCGTTTACACATGTATGTGATTGAAATGTCTAATTTCTATGATTCTTTGTCACTGTAGTGTTCATTCTTTAAAACTTTACAGTTATTATAGGCAGTCCCTTAAGCATAGCATATGCATGTGATGATCAAGCTAGCATACAGTAGGGCTTGGTACTAGAATTCATCAGTTATTTGGAGAGCTTTCTCTATGCTTACATTCTTCAAGAAACAGCTCACCAAAGGACAAATACAATTATGGGCTAGTGTGAATTCTGTTCTGTTTCATTTCCTCCAAATTGCAAAGCTTTAAAGTTAGTCTCTGCTGTATACCTTGACAACATTAATGATGTCTTTAGGGAGGAGAGGTAAATGCTATCTCCGTTTCACAGCAGAACAAGTTGAGTGTCTGTGACCTCTCCATAGTGAAAGAAGACTTGTCCCTTATAGGTAGGAGTAGAACCTCTGAATTTTTAGGCCGTCACTTGCATTCTTGTAAGGCTATATTTGAAAAAAAACCAAAACAAGCCAGCGCTCAAGAAGAACCCTTTCCTCTGTCATGCCATTTTGTTCAGGCCAGTCACAGTGCATTTTGCATCATTTCTGTTAAAAGTTTGTGAATTTGTAAGTACTTGAACTCATAAGTAATTACAGTCTTTCTCTTTGTAGCTCAGGCCAGTCAAATCCAACCTTCTATCTTCAGAAGGGTGGGCAGGCGTACGTGCTCAGGAAGAAGCCCCATGGCCCCCTGTTACCTAGAGCTCACAAGGTAAGTAACATTCCTCCTCAAACACTTTGTATTGCAGGTGGCCAACTCCTATACATGATGGTGTGGCACATTGTTGAATGTGTCCAGAAATGCAGTGAATTGCTGGATCATTTCCAGTTTTCTGTGCTGAGGATACATTGTCATTAACTGTATTCATGTATGCTTGGGAGCTTTTCATTGAACTTAAGTTTCTGTGTGTTCTTCAGGTTGATAGAGAATATCGTGTGCAGAAAGCCTTATATTCAGCTGGATTTCCAGTGCCTGAGCCCCTGTTGTATTGCAGTGATGTTTCTGTCATTGGAACAGAATTTTATGTAATGCAGCATGTGCAGGTTGGTCCTCCAAAGTGAGAGATTTTTTTTCTTCTCCCTACTAGAAGCTGCTTTTAAGTTGTTTAAGACATTTCTGTTAGAGCCTTATTCAGCATTTACTAAGTTTTGTGATATAAACATAAATAATCCTCTGATGTTTTTAAGAAATGCTAGCTATCAGAGATTCTCATTGATTTCAACTTCTCCAGGACTTATTTCCAACTCTGTCGAAATTTTCAACTCAGTGTTTAGCCTCTTGTTCTCATTAGAACTCTCAGAAGGATGTCTTGAAATGAGTCAATGTACCTTCTGTGTAAAGCACATACAGAAGTCGGAGGGAGAAAAATCAGGCTATGAAGTTATACAGGATCCTTGGACATCCTGGGACCTGTTTAGTACTGAAAATAGTAAACTACATACAGTCACCTTTTCCTGAAAACCAAGCAGGATTTCAGCTCAAACATTACTTTCAGAAAGAACATGGCACAGCTCTGTCTGTGGTCCATCACTCTGGAGGTGCTGTAGCTGAGCTGATACTGATTCTGTTAAGTTTTGGTGATTCTGAGTGGAAGTCTCTTTTTTTTTTTCCTGTCATTTTTTTTTTCCTGTGGGAGGTAGATTTGAATCTCTCTTTCCTTTTTTTTTTTCCTGTGGGAGGTAGATTTGAATCCAGGCCTCTTTCCTTTCATCACATCCTACTCTGTCATCAGGTTCACTAGGGAAATGAGAAATGTAAGGCAAGTTCCTGGAGATTAAGTTAACCTTGCTAGAAAAACCATGAATCAAAAGTAATACAATGTAAAAGCTATGAAGAATTTGAAACAATTTTCTTACACGAAAGGTGGAGAATTTTTCTAGTTTTGACTAGAACAAAGTGGTTCCTGAATGAGAAATCTTGCTACTGTTATATTTACATTTCTAAGGATGTGAATTTACAGTCTATCCATTCTAAGATTGACAGCAATGCACTGTTTTTAACAAATATGTTGTGTATTTAGAAAACAATTATACATTGACTGCATTGGATAAAGTATTGCACAATACAAAATCCGATTTCTAGATTATTTTTTTTTAATGCAGAATCTTTCAGCAAAAAAAGTTCTATTGATGCTTTGGCTGTGTAAATATATTGAAGCCATCATGCAAACCAGTGAAAGTGAGGAACTTAGAGAATCTTTTTTATTTTCCAGTCTGTTACTGTCAGGGTCAAAATTAAAGGAGAAATCAGAAAAACACACCTGTCTTATAAATACATTAAATTGCTTTTAAGGAGAATGCGAGTGAATTTCATTGTTTGCCTCTTTGTACATACCACCCACCCATTCCCCTCCTCTTTGCCTGCCCCTCCACTTCCTCCCCAGGGCCTTGACTGATATTTTTTCTGGAATTTAGCTGTTAAGAGACAATACAGTAACATTTTGTTTTTCCATGTACTTTAAAGCGCGAGGTTATCTGGATTGAGCATTCAAATTCAGACTTTAATCTACTGAATATATCTGTTATTTTAATTGTCTTCCAGTTGATATCCTGTATTACTGTGAATCCTTTCATCTGTCCTGGGCAAGGAATAAAATAAATGAGGATGGCATTTTTGATTGTATAGGGAGTGTTAGTTCACTTTTTTTCACTTTTTTTTTTTTTGCTTTTGCTCTTGAAATGTATAGCTTTACTTCTCTTTACCTGATGCAAACATGCCACCAAACATCTGATTTATGATGTTTTAGCTTTACTTCTCTTTACCTGATGCAAACATACATTTATGATGTTTCTAGGGTCGCATCTTCCGAGACCTCTCACTGCCTGAAGTGGGCCCAGCAGAGCGTTCTGCTTTGTATATTGCAATTATAGAAACTTTGGCCTTGTTGCACTCCTTTGATTTACAGTCATTGGGTCTCCAAGGGTATGGTAGAGGACCAGGATACTGCAGAAGACAGGTACAGCTCTTAAAAAAATTATCTTGTTTTGTCAGGTCATTGAAGATTTATTTGATTTGCAAGCGAAATGGTTAATTATTAACAACTTGTAAAAGTAACCATCATAATTTAGCTATTAAATA